AGGTTGATGGACTCGAGGAGGAGGACATCACAATCTATTTGACGATCAAAAGTATGATGCTCCAAATGGAGTCTTTAAGGGATCAAATGGCTAAGATGCGGAAGGACATGATGGGGGAGCTCCAATAGGTACAAAGAGCACATGAAGATGAGATGAGCGGCGTACGTGCTAAGCTTGGAGGAGATGTGTGGAGACATTTCGCTATGCAAGATGACACTAGCGGCATCCACAAACAATCATACATTCGAAGCCAAGCATATTGAAGTGCAAAAACCAAAGCGTTTTGGAGGATCTCGCAACGCGAAAGAATTGGACAATTTCTTATGGGGACTTAGATCAAAACTTTGGAGCGGTGGTGATTACTGATGAAGTGCAAGAATTCAATTTGCAAACCTTTATCTCTTAAACATTGCTATGTTGTGGTGGAGAAGAAGACGTGGAGACAACGAGAAAGGTATGTGCACCATATCCAACTTTGATGACTTCCAAATGGAGCTAAAGAGGCAGTTCTACCCCGAGAACTTAGAGAATGAGGCAAGAGCCCGATTGCAAAGACTCAAGCAAACGGGGATCGATTCGAAAATATATTAAAGAGTTTACCAGCCTGCTCCTTGAAATTTCTGACATGTCTGACAAGAAAGCTCTATTCAGCTTCATGGATGAGCTCCAACAGTGAGCGAAGAATGAGCTTAGGAGGCATGGAGACGTAAAATCATGCCACTGCCATCTCAGTCGTGGAAAGCTTGGTTGACTATACAAAGGAGTCTACAAAATCAAGAGAAAAGAAGAGCAACTATGTCAAAAGTGGGGAAGACAAAGATCAACACAAGGAATCGACCCCTCGCGAATCGACCCCATCCAAGGCAAAGGACAAAGGGAAGTCCAACAACAACAACAAAATGAAATCACACAACAACTGCTTTCTTTGTGGAGGACCACATTGGGCAAGGGATTTCCCTCAGAAGAAAGCTTTGAACTCTCCTCTTGCAAGCCATCAAGAGGATGAAGGAAGCGATATGGCAGAACAAGTAGGAACAATGCAACAGCTCAACGAGATGCACTCCTCTTCAAAAACCCCAAAAAAAAGACTTCTCTTTGCGGTGGTGATTATAGGTGGGACACCTACTATAGCAATGATAGATACGAGAGCTTCTCACAACTACATCTATATTGAAGAAGCAAATTGATGGGTAACCGGAGGAGGGGGCTCCATCAAAGCAATCAACCCAGCGGTTAGGCCAATTCATGGAATGGCCAAAGGAGTGAAGACCTGTGTTGGAGATTGGTCAAGTACGCTGATTTTCTTCATCATTCCTATGGATGATTTCAAGGTAATCCTTGTTCAAGAATTCTTGGACCAAGTGAAAGCGCTCCCAATACCATTTGTCAATAGCATGTGTATCATGGACGGCAATCAAGCTTGCCCAGTACCAACATGAAGGACTTGGAAGCAAGAAGCCAAAATACTACAGCACTTCAATTCAAGAAAGGCATCCGACAGGAGGAGGAGAGCTACTTGGTTGTTCTTCATAACCCTGATGAAGAATTGAAGCCCCAAGAAGTCATGCCAAGGGAAGTGATGACAGTACTTGAGGAGTTTAAAGATGATTCAACCCCAGAATTGCCAAAAAAAATACCACTAAGAAGGGAGATTGATCACCAAACCGAGCTGGAGCCAGGGACTAAGCCATCGGCAATGAGAGCTTACTGTATGGCACCTAGAGATGGCAGAGCTGGGCAAACAATTGAAGGAGTTGTTGGAGGCAGGATTGATCTGGCCATCTAAAGCCTCATATGGTGTTCAAGTTCTATTTGAGAAGAAAAAAGATGATTCCCTGCGAATGTGCATTGGACTACCGGGCATTAAATAAAATTATCGTGATAAACAAATACCCAATTCCTCTCATCGCTGATCTCTTTGATCAACTAGAGAGCGCAAGGTACTTCTCAAAATTAGATCTCCGATCAGGCTACTACCAAGTGAGGATATGGGTCGTTTGGATTTTTGGTTATGTCTTTTGGGCTATCCAATGCTTCTGCTACATTCTGCAACTTGATGAACAAACTATTCCAACCATACTTGGATTAGTTTGTTGTTATCTACTTGGATGACATAGTAGTGTATAGCAACACACTCCAAGATCACCTGAGACACCTCCGAGATGTATTCAAAGTACTTAGAGAAAATAAGCTATACATCAAAAAAGAAAAATGCTCCTTTGCCAAACAAGAAGTGATATTCTTAGGGCATGAGATAAAGGATGGAAAGCTTATGATGGAAGAAAGCAAGATCAAGGCCATCCAAGAATGAGAGCATCCTACGAAGGTACATGAGCTAAAATCCTATATGGGGCTTGTAAACTACTATCGACGATACATTAAGGGCAATTCTGCAAGAGCTGCTCCATTAACAGACCTTCTTAAGAAGAATAAGTCATGGGAATGGAATAGCAGGTGTCATGAAGCATTTGAAGACCTCAAGAAGGCAATCGGTGAAGAGCCATACTAAGGTATGTGAAGTGCATACTGATGCTTCTAACTTCGCTATAGGAGAGGTACTAATGCAAGACGGACGCCCAATTGCCCATGAAAGCCGGAAACTTAATGAGACGAATTGCCACTATACAGTCCAGGAAAAGGAGATGACGGTCATCATACATTGCCTTAGAGTATGGAGACACTACCTACTTGGCTCCAAATTCAGAGTCATGAAAGATAATATTGCCACCAGCTGCTTTCAAACCAAGAAGTTAAGTCCCAAGCAGGCAAGATGGCAACATTTCTTGGCGGAATTTGATTACATCTTGGAGTATAAGCCAGGAAAGGCCAATATAGTAGGAGACGCACTAAGCCGAAAAGCAGAACTTGCAAGGATTTCATAAGTTTCCAGCTCCCTAATAAGCGGAATCAAAGAAGGATTGAACTCTGATTCACAAGCCCAAAGTGTTATCGCTCTGGTGAAACAAGGAAAAACTAGAAAGTTTTGGATTGATGAAGATATTATCTACACTAAAGGTCGATGCATCTACGTACCAAGGTGTGGCAACTTAAGAAAGGAGCTAACCAAGGAAAGTCATGACTATTTATGGGCAAAACATCCAGGTATGAAGCGACCCCTATTATTTCTAAAAGCAAATTATTTGCCCAAGGATGAAAAATGGGGTAGAAGAATATGTTCGCACTTGTCTTGTCTGCCAACAAGACAAAGTTGTCCTTCAACAACCAAAGGGGTTGTTGGAACCACTACCTATTCCTTGGAGACCTGGGAGAGTGTTTCAATGAACTTCATCACCAGCTTGCCAAATTCATATGAGTGTGGAAGCATCCTAGTCGTGATTGATAAGTTTAGCAAGCTTGCAACATTCATTGCTGCTCCCACTGACTGTATTACCGAAGAAGCTACAAGGCTCTTTCTCTACAACGTGGTAAAGCTATGGGGAATACCACAAAACATTGTCAACGATCGAGATCCTCGCTTCGCTGGGTGATTCTAGACTGAACTATTCAAGATGTTGAGGTTAGATCTAAACTTCTTTACAAGCTTTCATCCTCAAAGTGATGGACAAACTGAGTGGATCAATGCCCAATTAGAGCTATATTTGTGTCACTATGTAAGCGCAAATCAGCAAAATTGGGCCAAATTGCTGGATGTGGCACAATTCCCTTTTAATTTACAAACAAGCAAAGCCACCAAAAAAAGTCTTTTCGAGATAATCATGGGCAAACAACTGATGCTCCCCTCTCCCTTACAACCAGCTATGAAGGAAAAAGTCCAGCAGCCTTCAAGTTTGTCAAGTCTTGGAATGAGCAAAAGGAGCTCGCTCGAGCAACATTACACAAAGCCGCAAGGAGAATGAAGATGTGGGCAGACAAAAAGCGGAGGCATGTCGAGTTTAGAGAAGGAGATCTAGTCCTTGTAAAGCTTCTGCCCCAATAGTTCAAAACATTTTGAAAGGTACATAAAGGATTAATTTGATGATACAAAGGGCCTTTCGAGGTAATGAAGCAAGTCGGAAATGTCTCTTACAAACTCAACCTTCCACCAAAACTAAAAATACATCCAATCTTTAATGTAAGCATGTTGAAGCCCTATCATGAAGATATGGAAGACCCTTCAAAAGGGATTTCCAAGAGAGCGTCTACAGCCATAATCACCTCATTTGATAAATAAATTGAAGAGATATTGGCAAATAGAGTGATCAGATGACGAGGGGTGTCAAACTACAAAGAGTATCTCATCAAGTGTAAAGGATTGTCTGATAGTAAAGCTAGCTAGGAGCATGAAGACTCACTGTGGCAATTCAACGAAAATATCCAGTAGTACCAGGAGAATGGCACAATGAGGGCATTGCGAGCATAAGTGGGGGAGAGTGTCACCCCCTCCCCCATCTTTAAAGAAATTGGGAAGACAACAATGCGATGGATGATTCTAGTTGGAGAAGAGCTATCCAAGTAACTCTAGATGATTCCGCCTCATTCTAGAGAATGGTCCAAGGATAAACTGAAGAATACCCTAGAAAGGTCTAAGGCCATATATGTATATAAGAATAGTGCAGCACACTCTAGAAACTAAGCTACTCTAGAATATTCCCTTGGACTTGGAGGGGGTTATAAATAGGAGTATCTCCCCTCATTTGTAACCATCCAAGAAAATGTTCCAAGCTTCCAAGAATTCAAGTGTTGCAATCTTTCTTAGTGATATCTTTCTTTCTCCAATACTTCTCCCTACTCCTCTCCAAAGAGTGTTTTGTGTTTAGAAGTCCAAGTGTTGTGAGGGATAGGTTGATTTAGCGCCAAGGAAGAGCACTAAAGCAGCATGGGTGGGTAGAGATAAATTATTTTTTGATACTATGCCCTTCATACCACTGGTAAAGATTAAATATACTTCCAGAAATGGTTTTCAAATGTTTAGAAATTTCATATTGATAATTTAAATTAATAGTCATAAAAATCTATGATAGCAAAGCAGAATCAACAAAACACAATCATAAATTCTCAGCAAGGAAGAAAAGAAAAACGCTAAAGTCCAACCAAAGAAGACAAAGTAGAGACAATCAAAATCATCCATTCATGAACAGGCAGTTGTCAAACAAAAGCAAGAAACAGGTGATTTTCATATCCTTGACAAGGAAAACTAATATTTTCATGTCATCAAATTAGCATGACAAATGGCGTTTTCTTTTTTAAAATGATTTCAAAGATTGATGATTAGTTATCAAACTGTATAAGACAAGTGCATATCAACAAATTAAAATTGATATGGAAATATAAAACAAACAGAAGCCTAACCTTGTTTCCTATATATCCCATAGCACCAACACCAACAGAAGACACCTTCACGTTTTGAATAATCTTTTGAAGGTATCTCCGAGCCCATATTGATATGAAAATGCCAACCATTTGTTTTTTTATGATCCTCACAAAAGACGATCTTTTCTTTGCACGGAAAATGACACGTGGATCAAACTCTTGTATCGATCCAAAGTATAATGAATCTTTTTTATCTCCCAAAGCTGAAGCGAGTGGACTGCAAGTCTTAAAAGACTTTGATCTTAAAGTTGGACTATCTGAAACACGCCTGGCTAATAGTTCCCGTGGTTGTTCTGGCCATGCCAAGCCAATCTTTTCTGAGCCCCAACATGTTTTAATTAGCTTGTTTTGTTGAGAAATTGGTGTTTTGGGAATTATGTCACTGTCTATCATACTAAAACGATGACACTTATCCAACTTTTTCATTGATAGCCCGTTCTCAGTGCTAATCCCATTGAAATCATCACAATCATTCATGGAATTATTGACTTGTTGGATCATTTCATTGTCACTTTCATTATCAGTTTCATGCAAAAGCAATTTTTCGATAATGGCAGAAGCATCTTCAGAGGGCTTGAGCCTTGAAGGAGAAGGAGGATCACTGTAGCATTTGCATGTTGGTTTTCCCGTTTGAACTTTGTTCAGTGACTTACGAATGAGATTTTCCCATCTTGGCACTGGACTGCAGTCTTCAGCACCGAATATGTTCCCCGCATTCAATGGAACAACCTCCTGAAAGCTGCAATTGTCTCAAATATGTTATATATGTTGGAAAATAAAACAAACTTGTAATGTTCAAAGTGTTTCACTATACTAACTATACAAAATTACAACAAAATTCCAAAGTAGAGGCGAATGAATTAGTAATTGCAACCAGTTTTTATCTAATAGGAAACAAAACAAGGAAAAGGGTTTATGATATTACCCAAGCACATACATATCAGCAGGTTCATTTGTATTTAGCCACTCGTCAATATCCAAGTCATCATGCGGAACTTTCCCCCCAACATTCCATGTACCAACACAAATCCTACGAAAAAAAAAAGGTCAATTAGAAGAAGTTTAGATTAGAGTTAATAAATGTTCATTTATGTTGGAATTGACTATGATGGTTAGTTGAATATAGATTTATGATGCAATTAATGAGTATACGAATTTAGTTTCAAAAAGAATTTTGAACATTGGTGTATTGCAAAAAATTTTATTTTGAGTATTGTATACATTTATAATGTAATGAAAAGAGAACAATTACAAACGAATGAAAAATTCAAATAGCAGTATGAAATAGAAGTCTTAAAGTTAATGTAACTTGCCTTATATCCTTGGCATCAATGTATTGTGCACGTAGGGTTTCAGAATTTCTCCTCCTTAGTATGCAATAAGCCCCCTCTGACTTGTTATTAAGTAGCAAAACTTCAGCTTACTAAAGAAGCATTTAATGATATAGAAATTAATATCATCATAGTCAGCAAGATGTCCAATTTCATGACTTTAAAACTAACACAATCTAATCATTTTTGTTTTTTTTTTCTATTTCAATGATTCCAATTGAAAACATAGATTTTATTGTTTGAAGCACTATAATTAAGAAATCTTTTTAGTACTTCAAAATATTAATGCATTTTTATTGGTGACATAAAGAAAACGAAACCAAGCAATAGGACCTTTTTATTCAATCCAAAGTAGCAAGAGAAAGTGGTAGTTGAATGAAGCTTAGATAGGACTAATGCAATAAAATTGTATAATCTAGAATCAACACCACATGCAACACCAAACAGGGTTGAATGGTAAATAAGGATACTGTGAATCAAAGGAATATCAAAGTTGGGCAAGATACACCATTGACAAAATTAGTTTTTAACCTAAAAGATTAAGTTTGCGGGTGAGTGCCAACCACTTTTTATTTTTACAACAATATATTTTCAAATGTATAATCCAAAAATGAAAACAATAATCTCACATGCCTTAATAGAAAGTGATGCAGTTGAGAACTCAAATAGGTTGGATAATACTAATGATTATGATACAGAAGAATTGAAAAGTTGGCCACACAATTGACAAACTTAGAATTTAAACATGATTTCATTCCTTAAACTCAACAATCAACAATAAAAGGAAAAAAAATTAACAAACCATAATGGTTATTTTGTTGTATGCAGATTATTTGCAATGGAGAGTAAGAGTTTATTATCTTAGCATTGTATGCAAATTTTGCACACAAAAAAAGCAACCAAAACATAAAACATTAATGATTATTTATGTATAAAATTAAGAAAAAAAGGAAAAAAAAAGGAGCTTAGACATGTTGAAATAGCTCCATTATTTCAATTAAAGATTACAATGAACCTCCTCGATTGTTGAAAAAGATAAGATCATAAAACCAAAACTATAGGAGTAATTTCTGTGATAGTGGTTGAAAACGTTTAATGATATTGATGATGACAGGCGGAAGGTGGACATAAATATATGAATGTAGGGATAGAATTTAAGTTGAAATTAAATTCTTGATGATCTTATTATTGATGATCGTTGAAGCACACGAGAAGATACTTGTCAACATAATTCAATATCCGGTGATAGTAGATGGCTAATGATAATAGTTAATGTTAGAAGAAAATAGTAGTGAACATTGTTGATGGTGACTGAGGCGGATATTAGCATTGGGACAAATGTTAGACCGTTGTTGCTATGAATGCCCTCTTAGTTGAAGAAAATATCAGGTCATTAGGAAAGGATGACGATAATTCACGAAAAGCAAAACCTCCTAAATGAACAGCTATGGTTTTAAATTGTTGTTAGACTTTTAAAATAGGTTTAGAAGTCTCCCCACTAAAATATCTCAACTGTGCAAAAAATATGCCCATAATAGAAATACTTATGTCATCTCTATGAGAGTGTTAGATCTCAATTAGTGGGTTTGATAGGTCCCTTTAATCAACTTTCATTTTGAGGACATCTTAGTGCCTTCATAAATTTGGATTTGAGCAACCTTGATTCCTCTGATCAAGATGATCGTTTCAGTTATAATACACAAATTCAAAGGACTTTTAAACCCTCCAGTGACCGCAATAAATTTCCATCAATGTTTTTGTGTATTTGATCTAAGTTAGTTGGATTTGGATCTACACGATTTTAGTTAGGTTGAACTTTGTCAAGTTGCACTATGTCACTTACAAATTTATTGAAAATGGAGTTCAACTGTTCTTGTAAAAAATTCGAAGTTTATGCTTCAAAAGATAAGACAAATTTTTAGCGGGCACATAAAATTTGCTTAGCTTGTTGTTAATTATTACAAATATTGCAGTATTTTATTATGGTCCCTATTGCTTTTCATGTAGCATATTCTTGCTTTCTAAACCTTTTAACCATCAAAATAGTCATCAAAATGCATCTACATAGCGCCTAACCTAAATTAAACTAACATCAAATTGCTGTAATACTAAAATGCCAATGAACAAAACAACCTTAATCTTAAAATAACATAACACAGAACAGCAAAATGAAACTTAATAAAGAAAGCCCTTTTTTAAGAAAACAAAAAAAAAATTTCACCCCAATTCAACAAACAAAAATGATTTTCCAAACTTCAATAAAATAAACCAATAACATACCAGAAATGGCGAGATAAAAGCCCTATAAGAATATTTTGATTTCAAAACCGCGCCTGTTTCACTGCTAAAGCCCGTAAATCACACAAAATTAAATTAAAA